GATCTTATCAGAGTAGGGATGCCATATGTTGGGATGAAATGGTTACATAGACATTTTGCAACTGAGATTGCATCTGCCTTTTTCACTCGATAAATCTCTGGCCGTTTTGAGAATACGTCTATAATCACTAGAGCGTATTTCGAGCCTTGACTTTCATTTAATTCAATAAAGTCCATATGAATGGTGTGAAATGGATGAGGTGGTGTGGGGAAATGTCCTCTTTTTGTCCTCAGATTGCCTTGTGAGTTGTGTTTTTGACAGATCATGCATGTCCTCACAAATTCTTTTGCTGAAGTTTCAAAATTTATAGTATAAAAGTGTGTATTAATGACCTGGACCATCCCTCCTGATGACACATGGGTCACTCCATGGGTCACTAATGCAGCTGTTCTGTGTAGGGACTTTGGGAGTATTTGGGAGTTTACCCTCACAAGTCATCAGATCATTTTCTAGCTGTGCTCCACACTTTAACCATTTCTTCTGTTCTGTGGTTGGTGCCGCTTTTTGTTCATCTTTAAGTACATCAAGTGGTATTTGCATGGTGGATGCAGACATTAATGTGTCGACATTTTGTTGTGCAGCTAATTTAGCTGCTTCATCTGCAAAGTTATTACCTTTAGTTATTTCTGATTTATCTTTTTGATGTGCAGCACATTTGCATAATGCTAACTGTTTTGGCAATGTTATTACTTCTAATGATGTTTTCAAAAGATTTCCATGTTGTACTGGGTGTCCAGTAGATGTAATCATTCCTCTGTTCTGCCAAATTTTTGCAAAGTGATGCACTGCTGAAAAAACATACTGACTGTCAGTGTATATATTTATATCTTGCCCTGTGTGCAATTCACATGCGCGTATGACTGCTTTGAGTTCTGCACTCTGAGCGGAGTGTGAGGACGTTAATGGTTTTGCTTCTATGACTCTGTCAGCTGTAGTCACTGCATAGCCTACACAGTTTCGCCCTAGGCTATTTTTAGATGCTGAGCCATCTACAAAAACATTATTGAAGCCAGCTTGTGGCGTGCTGTAAATGTCAGCACGCGGCTTTGTCTCCTCATCTAATTTTTGCATACAGCAGTGTGGATGACCTTCTTCGGGTGAGGCCAAGAGTGTGCTCGGGTTCAACTGACTACACTTTTCGATCCTAATGTGTGATTGTGACAATAAGATTCCAACATATGATAGTTGTCTTGCATGTGTGAGGTAGGACAAATTGGCTTGGAGTAAAATTGAAGTCACCGCGTGTGGTACTCTGATGATCAAAGTGTGCCCTAAAACAATGTCAGCTGACTTTTTTACTGCCTCTGCTGCGGCTGCACAGGCCTGCACACATGTAGGCAGGCCTGATGCAACTGAGTCTAATTTGCATGAGTAAAATGCAAGCGGGCATTGTTTTTCTCCAAATGCCTGTGTTAACACTGCTTTCATATAACCTGCTCCTCCATCTACATGTAAGTAGAAAGGCTTATCATAGTCAGGCAGTGCCAAAACAGTATTTGTCTGTAATGCTAGTTTCAAGTTACTGAATGCCTCTTCTGCTGCTGGAGTCCATTGTATTTTGTCTTTCAGTCCTAAATTTCTGCCATAGATCATATCTTGCAGGGGTTGGACTGTTGACGCGTACTCCGGTATCCAGGTTCTGCAGAAATTGCAGAGACCTAGAAAACTCATCATTTGTTGTTTTGTGAGAGGTTTTGGAGCGTTCTGTACTGCTAGTTTTCTACTGTCTAACAGTTTCTTTCCCTCTCCTGTGAGTGTGTGTCCTAAGTACGTAACTTCAAGACTCCACAATTGGAGTTTGTGTTGTGACACCTTGTGTCCTTGCTCGGCTAGATGATGTAATACTGCCATAGTGTTGGCTTTACAGTCATTCTGTGTGATGCCTGTAATCAGAATGTCGTCCACGTACAAGAGAAATTGCCCTGGTGCCGGCAATGTACACAGTGACATAGATTTCTTTAATGCCTCTGCGTACAAAGTTGGGCTGTTTTGAAAGCCTTGAGGGAGTCTCGTGTACGTATATTTTTGGCCATTAAATATGGCATGTCCAAAAAGGTGTTGCGACTCTGGATTCAATGGCACAGAAAAGAATGCATTTGACAGGTCTATGACTGAAAACCACTGTTCTTTAGGTGTCACTTGATTCAAAATTGTGTGTGGGTTTGCCACTACAGGTGGGATTTGCTCCGTTACTTTGTTTATTGCTCTGAGATCATGCACTAAACGGTATTTTCCCGAGTTTGCTTTTTTTACTGGGAAAATAGGTGTGTTGCAAGTTACTTTGTCCGTTTTTACTAGAATGCCTGCTCTCTCCATGTCAGCAATTACCGGTTCGATCCCTGCTTTTGCTTCTGTCGTCAGGGGATACTGTGGTTTAACTGGTCTGTATGTAGTGGTTGTTTTTACCACAACAGGGTCAGCACCTTTGATTAGTCCGACATCCGTTGGACTTATTGACCAAAGCTTTTCAGGCAACTGTTTTAACTCTGGGAACAGCTCTAGTGAGAGTAGGTGTCATTCATTATTGGTGTCAGACATGTGAGTATCTGCACAGTCAGATAGATGAGTTGCTGGCTGTGTCGTAAGTACCCACCCTAATGTGTACCTCATACATCCTGTTCTACGACCCTGAAGCCAACCTTCATGTGTTACTTCAGTTTTTTCATATCTGTCTCTTTCAACTTGAGTCAAAACATGACCTAACTCCCTCCAGTCTGTGTTTTCCTTTCGTGCTACAGACACATGTGGTTTTGGCATTCTACTCAGTTCCTGTACTTTTTCTGTTTGTATCACTGAGCACACAGCATTGCCACTTTTAGTTACATAGAGGTGCTGCAATGTAAGCTTCTGTGGGCCTAATCTGTGAATTTGTGTGTCATATGAAGGATCTGGGCCTGGGCTTTGTTTAAATCTTAGGGTGTTGTGATACTCATCAAAAGCAAGTGGTCAAGAGTCTGGCGGCAAATACCTCTCTGCCAGTCTCTGTAGAGGCTCTAATGGTAGGAGGTCTAGAGTCCAATAGTAGTGGGGCACTCCTTTTCCCTCACTGCTATAATTAATCTGTCCCTCTTCTTCTGCCTCTTCATAATTTAACATCAATTCTGCGTGCATGCCTTGTGCTCCTGGCACTACGCCAATTTTTAATTTTTTAATTTCTCCTGTCCAGTCTCCCTAGGAGGTTGACTGGACAGGATGGATCATATATACATTGATTTTTACAGCTCCTGCCACTTTTTTTATGCACTAGCAGTAGGCCTTCTGTTAGAGATTTCACACTAGTGTGACCTGATGCAGACTTAACTGTCAGAGTGTCTTTTGAAAATTTCAGGTTTTTAGGTTTTTGATTTAGCACGATTTTGCATGCACCTGTGTCACATAACATAGTCATGGGTTGACCATTTACATGAATTTTTAGTATGGGTTTCTCTATTAACAGTGTAACTAGTTCATACACGTTAAACACTTCTGTATCATCCTGTTTTTCCTCACTTATTTGCTCTCTGGCTAGTCAATCTTCATTCATACCTTCTCTATTTTTTCCTGATCTACAATTTCTAGCAATGTGTCCTTCCTTTCCACATCGCCAACAGGTGTTATCTCTTTCCCTATCGAAACGTTCTGATCGGTTGTTTCCTCTGCCTTTGTAACCTCCTCTGTCCCTTCCTCTATTTCCTCTCCTACGCCCTTGCATCTGTCCTCCCGAAAATGCAATAAATCCTGTCTCTGCATCTACTGTGAAAGTGCCTACACTCTCATTTTTCTTTTTTATAACACGGAAGGCATGTTCTGCAT